CTCTTTGAAGAAATCAGGAACATCATCATCGTCCATATCCATGACCTCGTCGGCTGGTTCCTCGATAGCCTCTTCCTGTTCCTGCTCTTCGCCCATGTCCATTGCCATGGCATCGTCATTGGCGACTTCAACTGGGCCATCCTCCACAGGAATGTCATGTTGCGCACACCATGTCCGATAGTTTGCCTCTAGCAATTCCATGATGCTTGTCGCACCAATGAAACTGGAACGGAGAGTCTTGTTCTTCCGTACGAAAACAATTCGCAAAAGACCATCCCACTCCTCGTAGTTGATCTGTGGCCGTGGGTTCTTGGGGACCATTCGAATAACGCTTGACTCGACTTGCGGCGGTGGCTTGAAGTTGTTCTTGCCAACCTTCATGATATGATCGATCTTGGCCCACATTTGCGCATTGACTGAAAGTCGACTGTAAAGTTTGTCGCCGGGCTTGGCGAATAAACGCAGAGCGAATTCACGCTGGAACCTGTATTAGAGGTTAACATGTAAGCTTCCAATTACACAGAACGTTTCTGAAGACTTCTAGCCTTGATGACGGGGACTTACATGAGTACGCAGGAACGAGGCGCCGGAGATGTAGCAAGGAGCTTGAATGTGAGAGGAGAAGAGATCTTGACTCTGTTAGACTCGGGAAGAACCTTGGAAAGATATCTGGAGTTGTATATACCTGGTAGGGAGTATTACTGATGCAGACATCGAAGTACGGGAGCTCCGTCTTCATCACATCTCCAAGAATGACCTCCAGGCGCTTTTGGTATGGAGTGGACTGGAAGCGTTTGGTGACCTCTGCAGCCATACGAGGATCCAATTCCACGGCAATGCACTTCTTTGCCTTTTCCAGAATCTTGGCTGTCAAGTTACCAGTACCGGGACCAATTTCGAGGACGATCTGTTGATTAACACTATTAGTGTTTGTTAAGCCACTGAATGTCTTTCGCAACTCACATCGCTTTGCTTGAGCTCGGCCTTTTCCACAATTGCAGCTAGAAATCCAACCCATTAGCTAAGTAGATATAATGCAGTGAAATCTAGTCCTTACCAGCAATACCAGGGTTCTTCAGAACGTGCTGGCCAATATCAGTGTTCATCTTGAAGATGCTGTGAGCGGCTTTTGTCTTGGCAGCAGCATCTGACAGACCCTGCGAAGCGGCACTATTGCGCTTCGGCTTGTTAACTTTGGGCATCTTGGAGTAATGAGCCTCTGGATTTTGAAAATTATCCAAAGGAACCAGAGAGAAACCGTGCAGCAACAAAGCACATGGACTTCAATGTGGGCGGGAACTTTTTTACGATAAGATTGCCGGTACCGGAATTACATTTCTCCGAGCCCGCCTTTGCCTTCCGCGCCATCGAGGTCGAACCCTTTGAGTTGTGTTGTGCCCGATATGGCGTCTGGACGACAAGATTTCCTAAGCCAGGCCGCGCCTGTGAACTACGTCGCTGGTCTAGGTCGTGGTGCGACAGGTTTCACCACTCGCTCCGATCTTGGTCCGGCGCGTGAAGGACCTACGCCCGAAGAGATCCAGAGTGCTCTGAACAAGAGAGCTCAGAATCTAGGAGCTGCTCCACCCACTGCCTACGGTGCCACTACCCGTGAGAAAGGTGGAAAAGAAGAAGATAAAGAGGAGGAAGATGAGCGGTTCCAGGATCCCGACAGCGAGGTCGGACTGTTCGCATACGGACAGTTCGACCAAGAAGACGACGAGGCAGACCGCATCTACCAAGAGGTAGATGAGAAGATGGACAAGCGCCGGAGAGCTCGCAGGTTAGTCACAATCCTCCCATTTCCCCTCTGAAACCATTTGTTTATCGGGTTAGCCCCGGTTGTTTGGACAGAGTACCGACCTGAATCGCTCGCCACCTACAGGGAAGCTCGAGAGAAAGCCGAACAAGAAGAATACGAACGCAATAACCCGAAGATCCAACACCAATTTGCCGATCTGAAACGCACACTCGCCTCGGTATCCGAAGAAGACTGGGCCAACCTCCCGGAAGTTGGAGATTTGACGGGCAAGAATCGACGAGATAAACAGAATGCCCGACAGCGCCACTACGCCGTCCCAGATAGTGTGATTGCTGGCGCGAGGGACTCAGCTCAATATGGCACGACAATCGCCGAAGATGGCACGGAAATGGCCATCGACCAAGGAGAGAGCGCCGACGGCACCATGACGAATTTCGCAGATATCGGTGCGGCGCGTGATAAAGTGCTGAAGGTCCGACTTGACCAGGCTGCGCTAGGGTCCTCCGGTGATAAATCCGGAACCGCTACGAATATCGACCCCAAGGGTTACCTCACAAGCTTGACACAATCAGAAGCCAAGGCTGGTGAAGTTGAAGTGGGCGACATCAAGCGAGTTCGTACCCTATTAGAATCCGTCACCAGGACCAATCCTAAGCATGCTCCTGGTTGGATTGCCTTAGCTCGTCTGGAGGAGCTTGCTGGTCGGATTGTTGCTGCTAGGACTCTCATCGCTAAAGGGTGTGAGCTCTGTCCTAAAAGCGAAGATTCATGGCTAGAAAACATTCGACTCAATGAAGGCCACAACGCAAAGGTCATTGCAGCGAATGCTATTAAGAACAATGACCGGTCCACAAGACTGTGGACTGAGGCTATGAGATTAGAAACGGACACCCGTGCCAAGAAGAATGTTCTTCGACAAGCTATTTTGCACATTCCCCAATCGGTGCAGATTTGGAAAGAAGCTGTTAACCTAGAAGACGATCCCGCCGATGCGCGCTTGCTGTTGGCAAAGGCCGTTGAAATCATTCCTCTGTCAATCGAGTTGTGGCTTGCCCTCGCTCGCCTTGAAACCCCCGAAAATGCACAAAAAGTCTTGAACGCTGCTCGCAAGGCCGTTCCTACTAGCTATGAAATCTGGATTGCTGCAGCTCGACTCCAGGAGCAGATGGGTACATTCGCCAAGGTCAATGTCATGAAGCGTGCTATTCAGTCTCTAGCTCGAGAGAACGCTATGCTGAAGAGAGAGGAATGGATCACAGAAGCCGAGAAATGTGAAAGCGAAGGTGCTGTGCTTACATGTGGTAGTATCATCCAAGAGACTCTCGGATGGGGCCTGGACGAGGATGATGACCGAAAAGATATTTGGATGGACGACGCAAAGGCTAGTATTGCCCGTGGTAACTACGAAACTGCCCGGGCAATTTACGCTTACGCACTGCGGGTCTTTGTGAACCGCCGATCAATCTGGCTCGCGGCAGCGGATCTGGAGCGCAACCACGGCACCAAGGAATCCCTCTGGCAGGTTCTGGAGAAGGCAGTCGAAGCGTGCCCCCAGAGTGAGGAGCTCTGGCTCCTCCTTGCCAAGGAGAAATGGCAATCTGGAGATATTGACGATGCTCGACGAGTCCTCGGCCGTGCCTTCAACCAAAACCCCAACAACGAAGATATCTGGCTGGCTGCCGTCAAGCTAGAGGCCGACACCAAAAAGACCGACCAAGCCAGAGAGCTTCTGGCCACTGCCCGCCGCGAGGCCGGCACAGATCGCGTGTGGACCAAGAGCGTTTCTTTCGAGCGGCAGCTTGGCAACATCGACGACGCTCTGGACCTAGCCAACCAAAGCCTGCAACTCTTCCCGAAGGCCGACAAGCTCTGGATGATCAAGGGCCAAATCTACGAAGCGCAGAACAAGTTCCCACAGGCGCGCGAGGCATATGGAACAGGCACCCGAGCCTGCCCCAAGTCCGTTGCGCTGTGGCTACTTGCTTCGCGACTGGAAGAGAAAGCGGGCGCTGTGGTCCGGGCTCGATCTGTCCTCGACCGAGCCCGTTTGGCCGTCCCCAAGAGCGCAGAGCTCTGGACCGAAAGTGTGCGCGTCGAGCGCCGCGCCAATAACATCGCTCAGGCCAAGGTCCTTATGGCGCGCGCGATCCAGGAAGTCCCAACATCAGGACTTTTGTGGAGCGAAAGTATCTGGTATCTCGAGCCCCGCGCTCAGCGCAAGGCACGCAGTCTGGAGGCTATCAAGAAGGTCGAGAACGACCCAATTCTTTTCATCACTGTCGCGCGCATCTTCTGGGGCGAGCGTCGGTTGGAGAAGGCCATGACCTGGTTTGAGAAGGCGATCGTCTTGGACAGTGATTACGGTGATGGCTGGGCTTGGTATTACAAGTTCCTTATGCAGCATGGCACTGAGGTTAGTTATCCCCATCTCCCCCTTTTTTTCATTCATTCCTTGGGCTCTGTGTTATCATTGGAATATCCAGCTAATACCTATATGTTACAGGAAAAACGAGCAGATGTCGTGTCGAAGTGCATCTCGATGGAACCCAAGCACGGTGAGATATGGCAGTCCATCGCGAAGGACCCGGCCAACGCCTACAAGACTACCGAGGAGATCTTGAAGCTTGTCGCAAATACAATCAGCTAGCTGGCATGTTCTTTGTGGGTGTGTAATCTACAGGCGTTTCGGGGGCAAACCGCCCATGGAATTCAATCTTTGTCAGGGATTTGTCTCTGTAAGACTCATGTCTAAAAAGTCCAGTGTCCTAATATGTAACTATGTAATGACTTCATAACTTCTCAAGATAACCAAGTTGTAAAGTAGAATTCATGGGTATCGAACAAGCTTGACCTCATCTTCCAAACAGGGGTCATGGCTATTCAGCTTTTTAGTCTCTTTGTTTTCTCTGAGCTTTGCCTTCATCCTCCAGATATCGACCGCCTCACCTTGTCCCTTAAGAAGTAATACTGTACATGGCCATAATAGGAAGAAGGTGAAACATAGGGGACAAGGCAGAGGTGATCGAGAACGGATAAGACAATATCTTCAAACTCCAAATCCATATGCAAATCATGTGGCGTCACAAATAGTGACAGCCTCCCTTGGTAGTACCCAGACGCCGTGAGCCACCATCCAAAACCGTGAGTAGAACCCATAAAAAAAAGAGCAGAAAAAGCATGTAATGTGGCATGTATAAAACGTGGGAAAAAAAAAAAAGACAACGGGGGTATAAAATTCTCATGCGGCCATGGACAGACACTCGTCGAGTAAGGAGCTCAACTGATCTCGATCACCAAGCGTGCCGCCTTCGCAGTCTAGCAGAGAACCGTCTTCGTCTTCATCTTCGTCCAAGTCCATCTCATCTTCGGGTTTGATTTCCTGATGTGGTTCACCAACGCCATTCTCCAACCGCTCGTGTCTTTCAGTCTCGAGTTCGTCTTCGAAGTACCCGTTCATGATCTGGTCTACAATGAGTGGCATGTGGCCGAGGACACCACCACCCAGCTCCAAAGTTAACCGCAGGTCTCTAACACCCAATGGTTTTCGAATGTTGGCCTCTCTCGCTTCAACGGGGAGTAGGCCTGTAGCGGCATCCTTGACAATCTCCCCACGTGTGTATGCAAGTTCTTCGACTTCCAATTGATGTCGGTATTGACGCATCATCATGTTATTGATTGTACCGGACGGCCCATTCGAACGGGTGCGCGAGAATACCGCGGACAAAACTTCCTTCACGAAAGTTTCCGTCGCAATTGCCATGAACTCAGCGCATGGGAGCCCAGCACCGCTGGGTAGAGATTCCTCGTAACATATAGGGACCATGCGGGCATGGATGGATTCGGCATCGGGGAATTCGCCTGTTTCTGCGGCGAGGGGCTGGGCATAACGTTTTCGAATTTCCAGTTCCCAGTCTATTGGAGAAGGATGGTTAGGGATTATTTCCTGACAGGGGACCACGGGAACGGAGATGATATCTCGAGTTCGACGCGAAGGGTTTCGCCTTACTAGTTTTGTTCAGCCCGCCTGCACTTGCAGGAACCTGGCTGGGTAATTTGAATTGCTTAGCCAGATGGCTTTCTTCGAGCTCTGTGGGCACCGTCTCATTGGGATCTCGCTGGTTATCATTAGCTGTCGGTTCTGGAGTGAAGGTATCCGTCATCGTTTGCGACTACACACCTCTGCGATTCCCTTTATGCGCCGACGGTCCCTCGGAGGTAATTTCATAACCTCCGTCTTCAATCTTTGTTCTGCAGCATCTCCGGAGACGGGTTTCGACACAGTTGATGGTTTATCATTGGCCGATACCCAGTTTGCGACGCCATGATCGGGGAGGTCTCGCGTGAGGTTTCCGATGAGCGCGCATACGAAGTTGTTATGTAGATGTTCATTTTTGGGATCGGCGCACAGGAAGTAGTCGACTCGTGATGAGTATTCGCTCTGGTTGTAATGTCCTATCGGAAACAAGAGGTCAGGAGGTGATCGAACCGAGGCGAACGCGTAGGAGGGAAGGGGGAGCAGTCTGCGCGGAGCTCAAGTAATCGCTCTCCGAGGAAATTATTGCGCATTATGACATACCTAGTAAGAACAAAGCTGTGGACTCTTTATACTCGGCCCACTTGTCTCCGATGGCGGCCTTCAGGTCCGTGTAGGCATGCTCGAGCTCTAGCCGCGGCACCGATATCAGAGCTCTGGAGGTCTTCGCAGATACTGAGCCGTTGGGCACGGTGCCCTTTGGATTTGAGATAGAGTCACTGCGACTCAAAGCCGCCGGATCAATCTGCATGGTTGCTGAACTCGCGAGAGCACGACGGGCGACGCCGAAGGGCAGGGAATATTGGCACCTACGCCTTCATCAAGGAGGATTCTAGGGTTCAAACTAGAAATAGAGGAAGAGAGTATGTTGTCATAAGAGAACCTGATGAATTGAAGATGAAAATTGATGGAGTGAAAGAGATGGCGATGGGTTTGGGTGGAAGGGGAGGTTCCGACTTGTGGTTCCCCGCCAGGACGCCAGAAACGGATACATCGATGTGCGCCAAACTTAGCAGCGATTGCCTTTTGAATGTTTACATCTATTTCTCTACATTGGAATTTTAGATGATTTTCAATTTGATTAGCTAGATTTTCAAGCTAGCTGCACTACATCTTCACTTAATACTCCAAAAAGTTGTCCAATCTCCGCAATGATCTCCGTGATCTCATTCGATAACTGGCCTGTCACCAAAACTAGAAGTACAAGGGTCAGTATATTGTACTGCATGTAACTAGAAACCAAAGAAATACTCACTATAGGCATAAAGCAAAGCACAGTCCTCATCTGTGGTTTGTTGAGATGCTTCACGATCCAAGCGATAACGATAGATGCGAGCAAGCAAGCGGTCTCTGGCATGATCAATGCTAGGAAGCACATCACTCAAAGGGTACTCGAGTTTCATTGATGAAGCAATCACTGGAAGATAGTCAGCACTGAATCAAGTCCAGGGTAGTTAGTTACAAGAGGACTGACCTGATAATAGATGGCTCACGCGAGCAGATAGCTGCTGCCGTTCTAATTTTGTGTATTGAAGAAGGCTGATTTCGCCTTCAGTGGCCACATCATTCTTCATCAGCTCGATGTTCATAGTATGGAAAGAATTCACCATGCTGCGTGTACGGCGAACAATATTGGCATAAGAGGCTTCAGGGAATGCACTCTTCAATTCAAATTCGGAGCCCGCCGCAGCTTGAAGAGTCTCCAACCGAGACAAAAATCTTTCAATCTCAAGCTTCTCTCGGGGCGTCATGTATAAAACAGACCTTTGGCCCTTAGCCATAATGGATAGGGGATCGCGTTTCCAGACAAGACTAAGGTGCAGCCAGATAAGACTTAGGCTCTCCTTGAGTCTACTTCTTGCGCTGATGGGCCAGATCATTCGAGTGATGATGATTCCCCAAATGCATCCAGACAATACGGCAACAACTCGATGAAGTGCAATTTCGGTCATGATCGGGTTAGAACCGCCTTCATCTTCGTCGAAATTTGCCGCCTTCTGAGAGAGGGAATAGCCGTATAGCACGGAGAGGTTGTATGTGAGCATGATAAACCGGCCCATGGGTCCATTCCCACGAACAATAGTGATGTATCCAGTCCAGACCGCCATTATCCATCCCAAGAACGCAAGGGCAAATACGTTTCCAGCGGTGATGTTCCATGCTAGGATAGCAGCGGCTGCCCCCAAACAAGTACCAAGAAACCGGGCATACCCTGTCGTGTTCGAGGCCCCAATTGTCATTGAGCAAACTAGCATGTAGGACAAGAGACCCCATTCTCCCCGCCAACGTCCATAGAACGGACGGGTCGAAGGAAGGAAAGCAGGTAGGGCGTATATTGCAGCTCCTGCTCCAACCTTGATCGCGTATTTCGTATCATCTCGTCGGAAGAACCCAAGACATTTCCATAAACGGTAACCCAGTCTTTGTTTTGTTGTATCATGTACCGAGGGACCTTTTCCTGTTTGAACATTGACAGGGAGTGTATCATGTGCAATCAAGCCGTCTGATGCATGCCTGGCATGTCCATGGAGGTGCTGCCCAGTAGCGGGTGAATTGGAAGGTCGGAAAACCGCCTCTGTAGGTAGTTAACATCATATTCACATCTTAACGATTGGTATGTAGAGGTATACGTACCAGCATCAGAAGAGGCTATTTTAGTGGTCTCCATGTTTTTCGACCACTGCCAAACTTTGAGCCATGACCAGGTTCGCCCTTTAGGCCGCTCTTCGACTTCCAACTGCAGCTCATCTAAAATGGAAAGCATCTCTCGGAGCTGCTCACCAAATTCGAGGAGGGAAAAGCTGAAATGGCCACAGCTGGCTGAGACTTCCTCAAGGTCGGCTTCAGCTTCGCGTGTCTTCAATTTCATGGTTTCCTTTTGTTGATACAACGCTGCGAGTGTCTTCTCGCGCGATTCTTTGTAAAGATCAAGCGCCCGGTCAAGACTGATTCGCAATCGGCCATTCACTGAGACTTTGTAGTTCGGTGCAGGCCCAAATGGAATCTCCTTGAATATTTCTTTCAACGTAAAGGCCAACGAGCGCTGCTTTCAGTCAGCTTTGAATGTACCAAGAACTTATTGAGTTCCAACTTACCATTGCAGGACCCAGATGAGAGATGAATATAGTGAAGACATCTGCTGGAAGAAGTGCGGGTTTGGGTGTTGATTCAGCACTTCCAAGATGATGGGAACCGCCGGGAGATAATTCCTCTTCTGGTCGCTCAACAATAGGCTCCAGAAACGACCCATCCGGGAATGACCAGGATCGCTCGAGGGGCGTGAAATAGTCCACGTAAGTCGAGCTAGGCGGCTGATCTTCCGGAGAGGCAGACTCGCGTGCGATAGTCTCACGAATCAAACTGAACTGGAGAGAAGCTGCATTACGCAGTCCTCCCATGTTATGGGTGATATCTTGCACCCAGCGAACGAGGTTCTTTTCGAGCCTGTACTCTTTTTCGGTGCCTGCCACATAGTGCTCAAGTTTAGCTTCTCGGACGAGCCTGTCCAGCTGGCTATAGGCCTTACGGTGCCTCGCCTCTGCATCAAGGAACTCGGCCGATACAAGGACATCCTCAGTCCCGCTCAAGAAGCTTTCCGTGATAAGTGCCATCATGAGAGCCAATGTATCAGTCACCGTGACGAGGTTCGAGCGTAGCTTTTTACGCGCAGATATGGGGAAGACGAAAAAGGATACAACCATGACCGCGAATACGCCCATCAGGACCATCTTTAAAACTTGGAAGATCTTGGCAAGAGACAAGTCGCCGCTTTGCACAGAACCCTCCTTGGTCAAAAGGGTGATTGTTGACAGCGCAGTGAGTGAACAGGCAACGTTCACTAGAGGATCTCCTAGTCGTTGCTTGGTCCAGCCGACAAAGCCAAGGCCACCGCCACAAAATACTATGACAACCATTGCATGGCCAAGGGCAGGCAATTCCAATGTGTCCTGAAAAAACATCTCCACGAACATGCTGGTAATAGTCAAGAAGGTAGAATAGCAGAACGCTAAGAATGCGCAAATCAAGGCCTTGAACATCGCACCCTGAGATCTGGCAGGGTGAAAGTAGACCGTGACTGTAGCCACCATGTGTTTCCCATCCTGATGGCCCAGCATGGCCGAGATCGCGGGAATAAAAGTTGCAAGAGATCCGACCAAATACGCAAGACTGTACTTCAAGACCCCGATTCCCGGTTCTGACCTAAGGAACTGATTTGTCTGCATCCATTTTTCATGTATACGGCGCGCGAGCGCGTCGAGGTACCCCTCATAATGTTGGATCTCGTTTGTGAGCAGCCCGCGCCTTTCCTCAGTGTCGTCGTAGATGGGGGTGGAATTTCGGAGGTTAACGAGGCCTTTCAGGCGCTGGCCTGTTTTCGGGAGAACAAATGTAGCCTGGCGGAGCTTCACCGACAATTAGTATCTCTCAAATCAGAAAATGCGAGAGTACATACCGTTGGGCGCGAGCGGCGGGAGCTGCTGGGAGTTCCGGACGGCATCTTTCAGGTTTCACCTTCGCGTGGACTCAGGGCGTTGTACAAGCCCCATGGCACATGTTCGATGACTCGTCCTTTCTCCAGTATTTAAAAAGACGTCAGAGGGTTGTGCGGAGGTGCAGGGAGCTATGCAGGTGAATTTGTTGGCAACGATTGGAAGGTAGTTAAGTTACGGCCACCTCCCATCTGCCATTGCCACGCACATCTTTGTTTTGCTTTTTGCTTTTTGTCTACAAATTGGGTGACTTGATATCAATAGATTTGATTCTCCATACTGGTTTCGAATCTCTTTGATTATCAAAGAAAAGGTCAAGGTCGATCTTTATAATTTCGCAGCAAAATACAGCCACAGCTACTTAACAATTATTTCAAGCCTTCCACTTTCCACACCTTCACCGCTGCATCAGCACCAGCCGAAATGATCTTGGATCCTCCTGCAACCCATCCGACACCATGGACACCCTCCTTGTGAGCATTCTGAAGCTCAATCCAGTCGCCTGGCTTAGCCAAGCTCCAAACAAAGATGTTTGTGTCCAGCGATCCACTCACAACGTGTGAGCCAGCCTCGTTCCAGGCAAGTGATGTGATTCGTGCAGTATGCGCTGTCCAGCGGTCCGTCACCAGACTGCCATCGGAAACCTTGAAAACCAGGACACGTCCCCGCAAGTCACCCACGGCCAAGTGTGAGGCGTCAGGGGAAAAGGCAAGAGCAGAGATTGCATTGCGAGAGGCATTGATGTCTGCTCGGGGAGAAAGCCGAGAGCTGGAGATGGCACAAATCTGAACGGACCCATTCTCACCTCCAACGGCTGCCTGAGAACCATGCGCAGCTACAGTTGTAGCCGCAAAGTCTGTCTTGTATTCTCCGGTCTTCTTGCCATCCTGGAAAATCTCGACGGTTTCGGCTCCGCCAACAAGCACGGTCGAGTCACCAGCCGCAACGCCCTTCGGCTGTCCATTGAGCTTGGAAGCACTGCCAGTGTATGTCTTGGCAGCGACATCGACAGAACGGAGGGTGTCGTCCCAGCCGACACTGTAAATTCTACCGCTTCCCTCTGATGTGGTTGCAAGCCCGGCGACGTAACCGGGGTGGGCATCTCCTTCAATCTCCTCAGCCTTGCCTGAAGCGACATCCCAGTTGCAGACTCTCCCGTCAAAGCTGCCTGTCCATAAAGTTTCCTTGTTATCCACAGTAGTCTGTGCTAAGGAGGTGATGCTCTTCTGGTGGCCTGAGACAACCTGGCGGGGTTCGGGAG